TTTCCTTGTTTTTCTGCTTTTAAATTCTTTGTGAAGCACTTTGAATTGTCTCGTACACAAATAAATGCTCGTGTCACTTTTTGAAAACGCAGTTTCTTGCAGAAACATGTTTTAAAAAAGCATTTAAATGATAAATTGAAGCCACTGGGACACAAAGGCAGCTGCTTGGTGGATCTGAAGTGTCTTTCTGGAGCTTTCTGGGGCTTTCGTCACCCTGTGAGGATCCCAGGGGGGGTTCCACATGAAAAAGCCAGCTCTGGATTTAAAGCTCTGTTCTAAGAGACAGAAAACACTTTAAAAAAACCTTTAAAGCCAGATTCAAAGACGCAAGTCTCTGGATTTTATGCTAAAAGTTTTCGGTGTTCAGGCAGAATGAACTAAATCATCGTCATGAGTGAATTTATCTGTGGTGATTACGAAAAAAAGACACTTTTTAGAATAAAAATGATCCGTAAACATGAGCTGTAACTAAAAGATTTGTAGAAAATTAATAAAGAGTTGTTTCTTTAAACTACAATTTGAAATCCCAACTTCTAAATCTGTGCTAGATTGAATTTAGACCAATTTTAAATAAGACATTTTTGTGCATATTAATGAAAATTTGTTTTTTTAAACTAAAATTCGATATCGTAACTTCTAAAACTGTGCTAGATTGAATTTAGTCCAATTTAAATAAGAAATCTTAACCCAACAGACTTAAAATCCAACATTTTAACACCAATTGACAAAGTTTATTAAAGGCAGACCAGTCCTAATGGTTCATCTTTATCATTTTTTCAACCAAATGATGCTCAACACCAATGTTATTTTTAGATATTTCATAAATCTTTTCATTAGACCTGTGGCCCATCTGTTAGTTAGCGTTAGCATGAATCATGTAGGTGGCTAATTTTCCAAAAAGTCCCAAAAAAAGAGCCGGAAATGTAAATATTTGTGGCCCAAATCCATCCGATTACACGAGGGTGGATCTTCCACTCCGTGTTCGCCCTCATTACAGTAATTAGTGAATTAGGAATTAACTATCTGCAAATAATTTTTGAGTGTCTGTGCTGTACTACTGACTGGACGAGTAATCATGTACTAATTCCTTATGACTAGATTTTTTATATAATTTTGTATATTGAAGTGGACATGTTAAGCGCAATTTGAAAGAAGAAATATAAAATATGATAAAAATACATTTTTGTGTTTATTTGATTCCTATTCAGGACACTTAAGATAAGATAAGAATAAGATAAGAATAACTATAGTGTTACTATAGGCGGCTACAGATTTGTTTAACATTTTTGGTTGGTGGTGCCTCGTGATTTTTTCAATGAAGAAATGTACCTTGGGTCAAAAAAGGTTGAAAAACACTGATCCAGAGGAGTTCCTGTGATCTCTGAGCCAGAAACAAATTGGTTAAGCCACCGGATCCCTCTCCGGTTCTCACACCAGCAGCTCTGGAGTCGGAGGAGGTTTTTAAAATATCTATATTCAAAATAGACGTCTTCCCACAGAAAAGACTAGCTGCAATCTGAACGTAGACTCACGGAGGGAAAATATTTAAAGTGCCTCCATCTTCTGCCAGTTTGCAGCTCCTTTACATTTTTATGGCCTCTGCAGATAATAACGTGATTGAACAAACGTCCAGGTGGCCCTTTTCCAGCCTCCACGGCTCTTTTTCTGCTTTTTCAGCCACAATTTTACGCCCTCTTATGTTTTCTCGCCGTAAAACGCCGGAACACCTGGTCGAAAATACTGAGATATTCTCGTTTGGATGAAAAAAATCTCCCAAAGGAAGTTAAATTTTCTGGAATGGCTGGTTTGAGTCCAGTCTAATTATCACTATCACTTATTTTAGACCTATATACAGTATATACATATAGTTACTTATGTATATATTTATTTATATTCTGTGGAATTTTGTATATATATAAATATATATGTATATATGTATAGACATGTGTATATACTGTATATAGACATGTATATATGTATATGCTTTTGTTTTATCTCTGGAGTTAGTAACAAAAATAATGTCCCTCTGGGATTATTAAAGTATTTCTGATTCTGATTCTGATTCTGGAGGCAAATTTTGGTTGAATCCAGGGAAAATTAAGTCCATTTCATTGATTTTTTAACGTTTATCTAAACATTTTTAGGTGATGTGGATAACTTTTGGCTGGTTCCTTTTAAATCTGAGACCTTTGAAGATCTCCCTGCTCCTCTGGTTCTGAGTCTTCTCAGTTTGTGGTGCATTCAGGGCCCCATGGGTCATTTCATGTCCCACTGAAATACCCAGTTTCATGGAAAACATTGTTCTTTGGTTAGTCAATAAGTAGTGGCCCATTTTTTAAGAAGAAATCTGCTAGTTATTCTTCTTCTTGGATGATATTTTATATCATTAAAAGCTGATTTAAGACTCAGTTTGATCAAATCAGAGTTTTTAGGTGCTTTTTTCCTCTGATTGTTCATTAGCTGAAACTATTCTGTGTTTAGTTTGTGTAATATTGCAACAAATTTGCCTTTCAGAAGTTGAAATCAGAATTTAATGCTGGTTATGTTCCTCAGTTTGATTGTTTTGGGGCTTGTGGATAACTCTTATCGATAATTTTATGTTGGATTTCAACCCTCCTGCTCCTTTCTGCTCAGATTTTTTAATGCATTTGAGGTAATTTCATGTTTCTGCTGGTTTAAACTCCCTTTAGTTCTGCTCTAATTCAAATGTTTGCTGTTTTGCGCATCTTTATCCGAGACGTCTCATTATTCTGAGACGAAAAATGAACATTTGGCCCCTGGAGCCAGTTCAGTATTCGGTCCAAACACAGCTGGCACAAAAGCCATTTTTAGTGATATTAGGCCATTACGCAACATCCCGGGGCGAACAAACAAGTGTGCACGAACCCATCCGAGTAGTTTCAGAAAACATAAAAAAAACCTGATAAAGAATCCAGTAAACTGAAGGGAAACGGAAATTCCAACATAAGTCCACCGAAATGGCTCAGACCTGTAGATTTACCAGAGGAAAAATCCTCCTCAGAACTTTCAACCTGCTTATTTAGCAGCTAAAATCAAAGAATGTGAAAAGAAAGGCGCGTTTAAAGGTTCAACGTTTTCCAAAAAAATGCCATAAACTGTCAAATCTTGACAACATCAAACAGATAACACAAATTCCCATCAAAGACACATTTCTATTTAAAACTCAACCAGGTAAATGTTCAGGAAATGGAAAGATCTCAGTGTAAAACCAAACAACAGGGATTTAAAGGTTAAACGTTTAAAGGTTCAACGTTTTCCAAAAAAATGCCAAAAAAACATTAAATCTTAACAACATCAAACAGATAACACCAATTCCCATCAAAGACACATTTCTATTTAAAACTCAACTAGTTGAGGAAATGGAAAGATCTCAGTTTAAAACCAAACAACAGGTATTTAAAGGTTAAAGGTTAAACGTTTGGTTCAACGTTTTCAAAAGAAATGCCATAAACCACCAAATCTTAACAACATCAAACTGATAACACCAATTCCCTTCAAAGACACAATTCTATTTAAAAATCAACCTGGTGATAGTTCAGGAAATCCAAAGATCTCACTGTAAGACCCCCCAAAAATGGGATTTAAAGGTTAAAGGTTTAAAGGTTCAACGTTTTACAAAATAATGCCAAAAACCACCAAAGCTTAACAACATCAAACAGATAACACCAATTCCCATCAAAGACACATTTCTATTCAAAACTCAACTGGTTAATATTTCAGGAAATGGAAATATCTCAGTGTAAAACCCCAAAAAAGGGATTCTCCTCACTGACATTAAGGAACAACCACTCATCTCAAATTGACCTTTTTGTGGCTTTTTTCTTTTCTTTTTCAACCGGTAAAAATCAGCTTATAGGGTGACTTTATTCAGCTTTGTGGACCCCCCATACACACACACCTACACACACACACACACCTACACACACACACACACACACACACACACA